AGTATTATATCAGGTGGCAGGCACACAGATGACACCAACACGAATAATAACAAAAAACTCCTCTCAGCAGACTGGGAAAGGTTGCAATCTCCCCCAGAATCTGGCAAGAAGACCTGTACACATGCGTCTCTTATTCAACCGACGTAGGGGAATCGAGCCTTTACTCATTAGCTGTCTTCTCTTTGCAGGAAGGTTCACAGAGGATTTCCTTGTGTGCTAGCGGATAGGGGAAAGCCGCTCCGCTGCAGGTGCTACCGTAGGCTAGTTTGTTGAGACGAGAGAGGCCCTTGATGCTGCCAGGAGGCCGTCCCGGGCTGACCTTGTACCCCGCCGCTCTGGTGGTCCCCAGTGGCCGCCCCGGGCTGGTCTTGAACCCCGCCGCTCGGGTAGTGCCGAGGGGTCGCCCTGTGCTGGTTCTGTACCCGGCTAGCTTGGTGGTTCCCAGGGGCCTCCCACGTCTGCCACTCTTCCCGGCAGCCTTGTTCTTCTTCTTGCCGTCATCTGGTGCCGGATCAGTGCTCTTAATGCCGGATACTTTCCCAGGCGAGTCCCCGAGCACTTCCTGTCTCTGGCACACCATGGACTTGTGGCTCTGGGTGGGTAAGACCATGGGAGCCAGTGTCATCTGAAGGGCCGACGGAGGGGGAGGAGGGTAGAACTTGTTGGCCTGGGTGCACAGGTCAAAGTGGGAGGGGGGGTGGTGGGCGTCATCGGCGAGACACGACGGCCGGCTGCTCATGCAGAAGTCACTGGTCGTCACCTGGCGCATCATCTTCTGCTGGGGGGGGCAGAAAAAGTTGCAACAGCGTTATCGTAAGGGTTCCTACAGCTGAAGGGAAGTTAGATTTATCAAGACTTCTAATCGCAATGCATTTGAAAGTCTTGATAAATCTAAACTGTACAATAACCACAATTTAAGAAAAAATTGTATCAATTACTTAGAGTTTGGTTCATTTTGCCCAGATATTGTTTGTAATGTAAAACTTGACTTTGTTGGTCCACTTGAAAAGCATGGAACACTAGAAAGAAACACAGCTTTCAAAATGTGTGTGTTTGTTTTTCCTTGGTTTTAATGTGCGAGGCACTTAAATGTTACTGGTAAGCTTTATTTATTCATTTTCATTACCCTGTTTAATCTTTTTTTTTTTGACTTCTGAAAGATATATTGTAATTGTTTTAGATACAAGGTCTTATTTTTAGATTGATTAACACCATATATTTTCAGACTTTTTATCGCTCACAGACTGAAGTAGGCCTACTAATACAGTATCTCTCTGTGGAGTCAGTGCTGTTAAATACAGTTAAACCAAAGAATGTTTTAAGGCTAAACCTAACCTACTCAAAATAAAAAAAACTTTATTGTGGTGTGCAAATACGTAAAAGCGAACATCCATAGGGGCAACCATGAGCACACTTATAAGGACACTTGAACAAAACAGACAACGGTGAGATTTCTGCTTTATCTGAAGTGTTGTCGAGCTCTGTTTTACAGTCTTACAAGAGGACTACCTGTTGGTTTTTAAACCCTATCAAAATTATGTTAATGTGCCCTTCGAGCTATTTCCTGAATGCAGTGGTGTAAAGTAACTTAGTACATTTACTCAAGTACTGTACTTAAGTACAATTTTGAGTGACTTGTACTTTGAGTATTTAAATGTTTTTGCTCCTTTGTTCTTCTACCCCACTACAATTCAGAGGTAAATCTTTTACTTTCACTCCACTATTATTTACCTTTAGTTACTATGCAAATTGTAATTTATTTGAATGATGTGAAATATAAACTTTAGTTACACCTGGAGTAGCATCGACAAGCTACCCTGCAGAATACAAAGCATTTAAAATGAACTTCACCTTAACCAGCTTTGATAAACACATGAATGCATCAATAATTATAATCAAAACAAAATATATTATTCTGAAATGGGCCAATTTGCAGAATGAGTACTTTTACTTTTGGCACATTTAGCTGACATTACTTGAGTAACATTTTTGAATGCAGAACTTTCACTTTGTTACAGAGTATTCCTTCACTGCTACGTAAGTATAGCCTAAGATCTGAGTACTTCTTCCATCTCTGCCTGAATGCAGCTGGAGCTGACCTCTGACCGCTTTGTAGAGTGGTAGTGAAATGACTACTTTCTCTGAATCATACACACAATAATCTTGTTATTGCAATGAGTTGATAGTAGGACCAAACTCATTTTTGTTGCTAGCAATACATGTCCATAACTAACTATGAGGCAATAAATACTTAAAGGCTGCTGCTGATGTTATTCCTGCAGAGGACACAGGATGCGAGGAGGTGTGAGATTTACTATCAGTAACAGTAGTAATATTAATTCATAAAAAATATGCACATATTCCGCATCTCTAACGAGAAAAGCTCCTCTTCTCCATGTCACGTTACAACACCAAGGCTTAATTCAGCCTCGGTTTTCATAAAGGGTTTAACATTAGCATAAAAAAAGTGCGCAGATAAGCGATCCGACAGCTTGCATCTAGGATAAATAACCAATAGAAAAATACACCCTCCTGCCTGCAACACTAGCGATAATGTAACAGTACCTCGATTGTTTCTCAGATGTCGGTGCAGAAAGGGTTAAGGACAAAAATGATCTTTCATCCCTCAAAGCGTGAGTCGATGCATTTTTCCCAAATATCTTCTCACCTCGGCGTAAAATCTCCACATCGGATTGTTTCGTTGTGAACCCAAACGAGATGCGCCAGTTTGCAAACGTTTTATTTTTTATTGGCCAGCTCCAGACTGAGACTGCCAAGGCGACACCA